ACTAATAATTTATATTAATCAACTTCAAGATCTTAGTATACTGTTAGCTCTATAGCAAAAGAATTTTAATCCAATAAAACTTTTTAAAACTTCCAAATTTGTATTGATAGGTGGTTACTGTATGATTTCTAAAGCTATTTTTCTGACATATACATATATACTTACCCAATATTACACAGATGACAATTTGCTAAAAATATATATCTGATATCTACAACTAACAAAATGCCAATTCTAACCCTATATGATGTCAGAAAAATAATTTTTCTGAAAAATAGACTTTGGAAAGTAAGAAATAATATAGTAAGAAGTTTATAATCAGGTGTAAAATAAAAATCTTACATCTAATAAGTAATTTTTTTCAAAAACTTAATAGCTAATCATTAAAAACTTGTCTTAAAAAAATTTCTTTGAATTGATATTTTAACTTAAAAATTTCTTCAATATATAGTATGATTCTTTTAAGATCCAAAGTTGACTTAAATTATTTCTGGATTCGAAATCCACTTAAGTAGATTTTGGATCTACAAAATTCTAAATCTATCTACAATATAAATATTAGATTTATTAATATATAGTATATTAATATTTTGATATTTTTATTAATTATTGTCACAGATTATCGTGAAATCGAATTATCGTGAAATTTAGATCTATTTTATATATGATTTTTAAAAAATTTTAAGGCCTTTTTTGTAGACTTTTTTTTATAGTTAAGTTAGGATTTAGGGTTAGAATTATTAATAAAAGAGTATAGGTAGATTTTAGTAGAGCTTATATTTTCAAATCGAGACCTCTAAATTTCACGATAATCTAATTTCACAATAATCTGTAACAATTATTATAGAGTTTTACTAGAGATAATACTTCTAACAATTAAATATGTTTAACTTATTTTCAAAAACATATTAACCCAGATTTTATATATATACAGTACGCTACATATATTTTGAATCTAGTAGTTAAAGAAGAAATAAAACATTATATTAACCAAGTAAAAAAAGTATGATATATATGCAACAAGATTAGAAATTCACCTCTATTATTAAATGAAATGAAAAGAATCTTTATTATCTTTAATCATTTGTTTCTTCATCCTGAACTTGATGTTGAAACAAGGTAGAATTTCACATATCTTATGATTAAACGGTTCATTAAAATTAAGGATATTGTGGACAATCTTGTAAGAGTTCATGCCAATTTAAAAGATGATTTTTGAAATCTGAAGATTGAATGATTGTTAAAGAAATAGTTTAGTTTCTTGAACTGTTTTACATAGTGATATTAGAATTGTTTAAGATCTCAATACCTTTGCACAGTCTATTGTGAATAATTTTTCAGAGACTTTTCACATATCTTGATTCTTATATCGAAAAAGCAAATAAAAATATATATCATGAAGTGGCTTAAGGTTAGATAAAAAAAAATTTTAATAATTTATTAAATATAATTTTGCTTATTTTTTTTTTATTTAAAATTAAAAAAAAAATTATTAAAATACTAGACCTATCTTTCAAAATTATCAGCTATTGTAACTCTCCTTGATCTCTCTACCAAGTTTGAATTCTTCACCAATGATAATTGGCAATTAGCTATTTAAAGCTTAAAAGATTCTTATTCTCTTTATTATGTAGGTAAAGAGACAAAAGAATCTAAACAAAATTCTCTTGAGTACTTTCAAAATTTGGAAAAAATGAATGACAATAAAGAAATTACGTCAAATGAGCTTAATACTTATCTTTTACTACTACCAGAGCCAAGTACAAATCCTCTGTGATAGTGAAAAATGAGAGCTTTTCTTTTTTCAAATATAGCTTTAATAGCTACTGATTACTTTGCACTCCAGGCAATGAGTGTTTCATGCAAACGTGCTTTTTCTGTGACAAAGCATACTTTAAATCTTCAAAGGAATAATCTCCTTGAAGAATCTACAAGAGCATTTCTGTATATAAAAAGCAAAATATAGATATTTTTTTATATATACTATATATCATTAGTATTAATACTGTAATAGAATTAAAAAAAAATTTAGATTTAAATATTGATATGATTATGTATATACTATTATTACTGCATTATTATATATATAGACTCAACTCAAGGATCGATTTCAAACTGAAGTCTCTGCTTACAGAGTCCGGACCGAAAGGATTAGACTTTTAATAGCTTTACTTTTAGCTAAACAATTATCATTTATAGCACAAACAAATATAAAATTTCATGATAAAATACTATTACAAGTTCAAGATTTAACAAATAATTTTGGATTATAGCAAAAGGATTATATTTTGGCATATAAAATTATACGAAAAACAGGTATTGAAACTCAAATTACTAATGAAAATGATTTTGATATATTTACTAAAAAGTATTTTCAAGCAATTTCTAAGCAAAAAGAAGTTTTTATTTTGATAACAATTACTTCTAAAAAGTATAAAGGCAAAACAACTAGGGTATTTAAAATTAATATAAATAAATAATTTTTTAATAATTAATTTTATAATTTTAATTTTATTTATAGAGTTTTAATAATAATAATGATGATACTGAAGATTCTGAATTAAACAAAAAATGATTAAAATATAATTAAACTCCAAGTAAAACTAATCTTGATCAATCTAAATATAATATGGTAGCAATTATTACAATTTTATGAGAAGAAAGATTTTGTAATTAATATGATGCATCTTGTTGACCTACAAATAAAGATCATATTAAATTAATAGGTGCTCATTATACAATTTAGGCTTATAGTATAGTAAGTTTTACTAAATATTATATATAAATTATTTTAAATATATATTTTAAAGGTTTAAAATTAAATAATTATTTAGATTAATAGATTTAATGATACAGATTCTTCACCTAATCATCTAATATTTCAAGCTCTACTGAAGCCAAGAGGAATAAAAAACTGTGATACTGGTTTTGAATCTACTTTATCATATTTTATACCAATTTCACAATTTATATATTCTCCAATATCGCAAATTTCTTTTTCACAATTTCAATTATTTTCTTCTCTATTTCAGCTTTCTACTTTACAATATCAACTACAAATTACTCAAAATTCAGGACTATTCCTATACTAGAAGAATTTTTTTATAAAGTAGATAAAGAAGAGAATACTAATAGAGAAATTGCTAAACATTTAAAAGCATTTAATCAAGAGGCGATTAGAGTAAAACAAATTTAAAGTTTTATTTCTTCTTTAACTACTAGATTCAAAATATATGTAGCGTACTGTATATATATAAAATCTGGGTTAATATGT